AAATGCCCAGTCTCCAGTATTAAAAGAATGCAAAACCAATGGATGACAAGGAAATTGTGTGAGAGCAGACTAAGCATGTCTGAGAGTTCTTTACTTAGAAAATGGAGCCTCTGTTTGAAGAATGCCCCCAAATATCAGCATAATTATTTGGTTTCCCATTTAGCAGCATATCCAGTCATCTATAAATGAAGGAGAAAACTGCAGAATTGATTATAACTAGCAGCAAGTGTTTTTTTCAAGTTAGGTCCTCATCAACCTATTGTTCCTGTAACATTTTGTAATTGTCTCATTTATTATTAAATTTCCCCCTTCGTAATATTGTAAAGCGCTAGGGAATATGCTGGCGCTATATAAATGCCAGAAATAGTAATAAAAATAATAACACTTGCTTATCAATAGTTCTTATCAAGCAAACGGGAGTGAAAAAAACCCAATGAGACATTGCCACACCTCCTACTTTGGACCATTCTCCAGTGGAAATTAGCATTTGTCTTATTTTCTAAGTGTAATCAATGGTAAAATCATAAAAGAAAAGGAGCAAAAAAACATAAAGAGGATTTTTTTATTAGATACAAAAAGTGTGTGGGGGGGAGTGGGGGGGCTTGGGGTGGGATCCCTCATCAATGTATAAAGGTTGGAGTGGCCATTTTATACATAATGAAATAACGCACACTAGAAAACTGATGCAAATGTGATAGATAATTTTACAAACTTCTCACATAATCCCGTTGTTCCTTTATTACTCTTTTCTGTACATTTTCTTTATGCTGATTGCCAGGTGCAAAAGGTAGAGCTTATAAAATGGCTGACAGTGACCAAGATGGAGGCACCCAGTTGCAGGATAAAGAGGTGAGAATTTATTTTTCACTATTGTGCTGGAGTTGACAGCCATTAGTATTACCATGCCTCATCAAATCTATCTAGCATAAATAATGCATGGAAAAAAACATACTTAAAACATACATATTTGTTGTTTTTGAGATACTAAGAGAGTGTATTCATGTTTTACCCTTTTCCCTACAGAGACTTATCCCGGTGGGCACCCCCAGCAGGCCTTAGTACAATTCCTGTTTCATCTTCTTGCCCTCTTTTTATTTTCCATTTCGGTTTAATATTTCTTTCTCTTCTCATTTCTGACTATTTTTGTTGACGTACTTGTTATATTGGAAGCATTAAACATTACCCTCTAGCACAGGGGTTCCCAACCCAGTCTACAAGTACTCCCTAACAGTCCAGGGTTTTCTTCTTTCTTTCTAAAAACATCTTAGACACAAATGAGTAATCCCTAAATCCTGGACGGTTATTATTTTAATTTTATTATTTATATTGCGCCAGCAAATTCCGTATCGCTGTAAAATGGGTTAGGGGGTACTTCAGGACTGGGTTGGTAACTACTGCTCTAGCAGATAATAGTTAAAAAATAATAACGAAGCATAAGTTGGAAAAAATAAATAAAACTAAATTAGACAGGGATACATGGAAGGTGAGGGGACAAACAAATTATGGAAACCAGGATCCCACTGAGTTGCAGAGTGCCTTCACTGTCAATGTCCTAAGCTTACATCTTGGGGGTATGTCATTCTACAAAGCACTGTTACAACTATAAAGGTGGATTAAAATGAGTGGCACTATTTAACTGTAGATTTACAGAGCTCAGATATTTTAAAAATGGGGTTCTAGCCACTCCATCCAATGTGTGGATGGGTGCGGAAGGGCATCAATGGTGTTCCCCATAAGCCCTATTAAACCGTGTAGCCTTCTGAGAATGGCTTCCCTAATGCTGCACATGATGTACTTTGGAGGTGATTACAATTTTCAGAGCGACAATAAAATAAATAAATATAATCGTATATTTAGCAAACATCAGGTGTTCGAGTTATTTATATCGATTTCTGCTCAATGCATGATTTACAGGAAAAGGTTTTAACAGTATTAAAAAAAAAATGTTTTCTTAAATACAAAAATGCAGTTTTACCTCTTTTGCAAAGTCGCCATCGGGTGCTCTAGGTATATTTTGTGTACATTAATATTCTTTTCATATTACCAAAATAATTTTCTATTACTACATAACAATAGCATGTTGCCTCTCTTGTTTTATTTTTTAAATTTTTTAAATTCTTTATTTTTTTGTGCGTGGATGAACAAATCAGGCCCGCAAAGCCACAAAAGCAAAGACAAACTTCAACAATCATGAGAAACAATTCTTATCATGGCATAGAATAGTACTGCACTTTTTTTTTTTTAAAAGCAAAGAAAACACGAATACTAGGTCTGTCAGTGGAGAGAGATCAGAAGTATTGTCAACATATGTCAGACCGACTGACTGCATAGGGGTCGTAATAAGAGAACAACAGGCTTATGAGACAGGAGACATGCTATTGGGTAAGATTATGTTAGCTTTGGTTAAGGTACAACGTAACATAGCAATAAAACTCTTGCACTACAGTGCTGCTAAGTATAGGAGGTAGAAGTCAGCCTACACCCTGCACATACAGGTTACTGCACTGGTATCCAGAGACCCACATGTCTGCGCCCCTTCTGCCATAAGCCGCAACATAGCCCAGTTCACCAAGCTCATGTGTCCCAGCGCTGTTTCCCAGCAGGACTTGGTCTCGAGGTCCTTCACTAGGATGTTTGTGCACACGAGTAAAAGTGGCCCTCCAGTGGTTAAAAAAAAGTAGAAAGTGGTAAATAGGGGCCTGTCCCTGCCCAGGCTGCGACCTAGGAGGATGGTGTACTCTGGTAGCACTGAGCTTTCTGCGCCGTGGCACTCTCTGAAGCACATTCTTTTCCCTCAGTGCTGTGTCTGAGCGTCGCCCAGGAGGCATGCAGTGCTGGGTGGTCTGCTGCCTGGGTGGCACTGCTGGTACTGTGTGACGAATATTTAGGCACAGGGTAATTGAATTCCAGAAGTTGGCAAGTAGCTCATCCAGTTTGGACATGAAATTGAGTTGCAGGTCCCGAGCTGCTGGTGTACAAGATTACACCTGCCATCCTATCCATTGGAAGCTGGCCCGCTCTGGATGGTAAGTTGTGCAGACATCGCTGGAGTAGCACAGGCAAGAGATGTCGGGATATCCCGAACCGGTGGGGGGGCGCGTTGATAGTGGAGGCAAGACCTCTGATATAATGTAGAGCAGCGAACAGAGGGATCGGCCGCCTCCCCCACATCCGTTGTGAGTAGGCCTTCTCTTAGGCCTCGGGCCTATGTGAGCCACTGATCTCGGTCAGAAACTCAGAAAGGTCGGCGGTATAGAATACCTCCGGTCTCTGTAGTAGGTCCCTTGATTGTATTCCGTGCTGTAAGTTGCAAATAGATCTGTTTAGAGGCTTTGTAGCATGGAGCTCACAAGATGAGCGACCGGTCAACGTGGCTGTCAGGCTCCGCCCCCTCTCTGTTTTTTTTTAGAGATTTGACCTATGCAATTTGTAAATAGGCAGACATTATACATAGACCAAATTGTATATTCTTTGAGTGTATATCTCATTTTATGCTCTGTACATGAAAGATCATTATCAGAAGTTCTGATTTATTTATTTTTTTACATATAGAGTAAAAAAGTGACAATTTTATTGTGTAATAACAGAGTGAGCCATGCACATTTTTTGAGGGTAAACCTAAATTTGTTATGGTACAAGTGAAGTTCAGACAGAGCTCTAAAACCTGCCATATTCATTCGCTTTTGAGTGTCTCAGAACTTAAAAATTTTCAGGACTTTGCTGATGAAATTATTGATTTTAGGCCAACATAATTCAAATAAAAAAAAATTTTTAAAAAAAATCAGTATATTAACAGCACAGATATATTACATTAAATAAAAATGTAGCCTCAATTTTTCTGTTGTTTATTTTTTAAATCCAACATAATTCACAGTTTACTGAATAATAATTGATGCTAATCAAGTAAATGATAATAATAGCAGATGGCTTATATCTTGTCCTTACCTACACAGCTCTACACAAATTGAAAAACACTACTTTGTATATGGGAATAAAGGCTTTTCATTAACACAGATGCATTTAAATCAATAAAACCAAACATCACACTAATGAAGAATGACAGAGATACTGTGGGAACTGAAGCATTGACAGTCCCACCCTTTCATGGCTGAATAAATCAGTTACTGGAACTTGTGTGGCTGACTTCTCCACTAACTTGTCAATAATCATAAATTTATAGTAAATTGGACATTTCTGTGCAAAATAGCAGATATGAAAAAAAGACCTGACTTTGAGAATATTTCCAATCTGATTTATTCCAGCATAAAATTGAAAATTTACTTTGCAGCAGTCTGAATTCCTGAGACATCACAGATTGAGGATTTA